CATGAATTCTACCAAATAAATGAGCCACACAACAGACACAGGATACAGGACTCACCTCTTCTTCTTCGTTAGCTTTATGTTTTGCTTCCTCCATCTCCAGGCGTACTCTGGAAAATATAAGTTTTTACAGAAATGTCTATAGGAAATGGGCGTAGCCAGAGTTTCTATTTGGAGAGATACCATTAGGCACTCGCCAAGCAGAGACTCCTGCTACTTAGCTCCAATAGCACAGTAGTAAAGTGTGTCAGCGAGGATTTATACTTTGTGACCGACAGTGAATTACCTGCAGCAGCGTGCTTCATCGTCCTTGTGACTAAACACAGAAACTAAACATCACAGATTCCTCTCATAGCTCTTACTTTTTGAGTTCCTCCTCCAGCTCTTTGTTCTTTTCCTCCAGCTTGGATTTTGCCTGCAGCAAAGCCTCCAGATCTCCCTCCAACATCTCCTTCTCACTTGTCAGTTCGTCGACTTTCTGAATCAAGTCTTTATTCACCACATTCAAGGCGTTCCTGGAAGGACATTTTAGTACGTTTGTTTTTTAATCTCTGTTTTCAAGACAAAAGGCAGCTTAAACAAAGGATTCAGTGATTCTAAAACTTACACTGAAATCATGAATTTCAAAAGTCAGTAATATAGTGCTGCATGTCCAATCAGGACATGCAGCAGTGATCACAGTGATCCAAAAACCAAAAAACAGTTCTTAAAGGTACAGTGTGTAAAATTTCACCCCATAGATGTCAGTGGGTTGCAGTCAACTGAATTCTGTTTTTTTAATTATCCCAATTGAAGTGCATAATCCTAGCTAGGACAGCTACTGTAGGGCAGACATGTTTTAGTCAGCCAAGAGAGATCAAAAACATTAAATCTAGTCTGTATGCCACAACAGCCGTGGCCTGCCAGCGTGTTTCTACTACTGTTTGTGTAAGAAAAAAAATCCTCTTTAATAGTCATTATTTCTTTTAATATATTTGAATTTGATCAACACTTACCAATAAATTAGGAAATTCAAAAGTGGATATGTGTTGGTAAATACTTCTATGCTAGGTATTCTATGCTGTTATGCCTGAGTCAGCTCAAAAACTCTTGCCACTGTTAATCTATCGTCAGTGTACTCTGATAGCAAAGTGACTCTGGGACCTTTTGGCTATTTTGGGTAGGCTGTCCACTGTTACCTTGTTAGCTAAATTTCCTTCACTTTTCTGTCAGTAAGCTCTGCTGTTAGCCTCTGTTAGCAGCTGTTAGCAGCTGTTAGCCTCTGTTAGCAGCTGTTAGCCTCTGTTAGCAGCTGTTAGCCTCTGTTAGCCTCTGTTAGCAGCTGTTAAAATCTGTTAGCAGCTGTTAGTGAAACATTCCTTAAACAAGATCTCACATTGTTGAACTCGGACACCTAGCGAGTAAACTCTCATACAATGTGAAAATGTCATCAGACTGTTTATCAAAGGAAGTGTTTATTAAGCCTAATATTATCTGACATAATGATAGCTTATAAACAGCTGCTGCTCTTCTAGAGAAGAGAGAGTCTAATCTGCTGACAGTAATAATTAAACAGGCATGCACATTTTCATGTGTTAGGGCTCTGATTTCAGTTCGTGACTCTTTGTACGTTTCGTGTGAATGTGCAGACATGAATTAAAAATCTGACTCCATGGCACTCGAACATCTAAGAGTTCTCCTTCACCTTTTTCTTTGTTTGTGGCTGGTCTCTAGCAACATACACAACTCAGCGATTAGGCAGAAGAGAGAAGTCCATTTCCACCATTGTATTCAAGATGGTGGGGGAACATGGTGACCACTAAAACGTGGCACTCACTCCTATGTATTTTTTAAGGCTTAATTCTACGTTATGAGAATACATCAATATGTTAAACGACATTATTAGATACTAATCAATGGATGTTTGTGGGTGCAATATTTTCAACATTGCTTTTTTCTTCTTAATAATCTCCAACAATAAAACAAAAACATTTTAAAAAACTAAACCAAACCAAATTTAGAGAGAGTCATTACAGCCCTACAAAGGATGAAGAAGTGGATATTAAATTCTACTTACTTAGTCTCAAGCAGTTGTGAATTCTCCATAATTAGATTTTCAACTTCCCGGCCCATTCCTGAACAGAATTAAAGAGCAACATTATAATTTTATCACTTAACAAATCTGAATTGAACACAAACTGGATCTGTCACTACTTTAACACTACATATAAAGAAGTACACTATTCACACTAAGAATAAATCCAACCAGGCATGACGTTGGACATGAAATATCTCCTAGTGAGATATTTGTTACTGTAGGTCTCACAGCACATGAAACTACCGCAAAGCACAAACCCACAGCACAACATGTCACATGACAGACATGAGAAGAATGGAAAGAGTGGGTGAGGTCTTACCAATCAAACTAAGGTCTGAGAATACCATGCAATCCAAGCCAGGCGGAAAAAGAGTAGGGAAGAGAGAGAGAGAAATGCGGATATAGTTTGAGACAGTGAAATGACCAAAATGATGAAGGAGCCAGAGCTGAATGTGTAGCTGCTGACTCCACAAGCAAAAAGGAAGAGATGCTGTAAAATCTCTAAAGATAACATACATTTGACATTTTCGGCACTCAAGAGAAGAAAAGTACAAGAGCAAAAAAATAAATGAAAAAAATAAAAGCTGTATAAAGATCAATTAGGCCAAAAAAGGAAGCACTACACTCCATCATTCATGCACCAAAATCTTTTTGAAGTAGTAGGCAGACGAAAATATATTAATGTACCCTAATATAAGACGCAATGAAGAAGAACCTTTAACAATGGTGGATGTGGAAAGAATGAGTAATGGGTAAAGGTCAAAGGAACTTTACAGAAAAATGTTTAGCTAAGGAAAGGTTGGAGGTCATACACACCAGAGTACTCCACTTGGATTATGGACAAAAGCCAGAGAATGAGACACGGGAGAGAGAGAGGTGATGTTAACATGGGTAGATGGCTAACACTTTGTACAACAGCTGGACCAAAGCAAGCGGTGTAGCGTCGCAGAAACAGCTGGTGTTGAAGTTACAATGAATTTAAAGAAAGTAGAACAACATCTGCTAGTAAAGTATCAAAGTGGGAATTCAGCAGATCACCTTTACGACCTTTTAGAAAGAAAATAAGCAGTGATTATAAAGAAGTATTCAGACTTCTTACAGAATCATTCAGCATGGCTTTTAAGATTTCAGTATTTTTTCTTTACATATCTGACACTGAAACTGAAATGTACACCTTTACATAGTATATCTGTCAAACATCTGAAAAACATCAAAAATGTAGCTTTTATGTGACCTTTTCTACATAATACTCTCGGACTAACCAATCCACTTTTTTTCAGTCACTTTTATGTAAAGTTTTCACTCACCTAAAAGATCAGCTCCTTCGTCCACGTCCCCGATGAGCCCGGTGCCTGCAGAGGACAGCTCCTCAAACAGGGAGTCTGTATTGCGGTCAAATGCCATGTTTTCAATGCCTTTAGTAGGAGTGCTGACAAAAGAAAGAACAATAGGAGGTCATGTTTTTTGCCTGATGGATCTTTCATTTAAAAAAGAAAAACACCCCCAAAAGGTCCTCTTTGTATTACCTGCAGGGTCTGTACCCAATGAGATCCATGTCCAGCTCAGGGGTGGACTCAATGATGTCCTTCACATCTGAGCTGTCTTCATTTTCAGGCTGACCTGCAAAGCACACAAGCATAGATGATATAGATCAGAAGGAAGGATATGCAAGTAAACATCATAATGTTTTTGTGGTGTTGTTTTGTAAACCTGAACATAAGAGTATTAGAATATGTGACCCTACCTACTGATATGGTTCTGGTCCCCGGAGCAGCTTGCACCTCTGTGCTCTTACTGTTCCCATCTTCCCTCTCCATGTCCAAGGCAGTGGTTGACATCGGTGTGGCCGACTTGGAGCCGGTGAAGTCTGATAGCTCATCCTGTAATGAAAAGTGATTCATTTACAACAACAAAGCGATGCCTTAACTGAAGCTGTACCAAAATAGAAAATAAACCAAAGATAAAGCTGACACAGAAACAGAAGCAGCAAGAGTCCAATTTCTCTCCGCTCTTACATTATGTAGAGGGCACTATTCACAAAGTAAAAATCCTCAACTACTGAGCTTTTTTTTACCAACTTCTTATAAGGTGAAAGAAAAAAATCTCACATTCACACAAAAAGATCTGACACACTATCCTATATGAGATTATATTAGTGAAATTGGAGCACAACAAAACACAGATAATCACATATAAATGAAATATACTGGAAACACTAAACGTTGCGAATGGACTGAGGAGAGCTTTCTGGCTGGATGATGCAAAGAGACAATATGAGCAACACAGAAAGTGGCACGCAAACACAACGTCCAAAAAACACGACACAGACTGCAGAAGGCTTCAAACAACATTTACTGAACATAAATAAGGACAACAACAGGAGCTACTGCTAGTTTACTAAACTCTAGTAAACTACACAAATCCACCGAAAATCCAAAAACTAATAATACATAACCACAGCAGTAAGTGACAGATGAAATGTACGCTAATGTAAAATGAGTGATTAGTAATGTTTGAAGAGCTACATAAATACAGCAAAAATAAAGTCAAATATATACAACTCATGCATTTTACCCAAAATCAAAAACAAACTGGAGGCCAGATGCAACCAAGCTGCTATTGACTTTTGCACATTAATAATTAACCAGCTCCATATGTGCACTTTTATTTTGAAAGATCCCAATCAGGCCTTCAGACATGGTTGCATATAGCACAGCTGGTCTGTGACGTGAGAGTCTACAAATGCACAAAGCGACGTGTTTGAAAAGATGAAACAGCATAGTGGAGCAAACTACAGAAGCCCACACACAGGCAAACATAAACTGTGCTGCGCACGGCCAGTGCAGGAGCGCTGCTGCTCGTACCAGCCGCCACTCATCCAACTACCTTGCAGTCGTCTGCCAGTGAATTCCCCCAAGTAGAGTCCTGCGCACTCTTACCCTCCCTTTCCTTTGGGGGGTCACCATAGTCCAACTGCTTGGGGGAGGGGGAAGAGTAAGAATGCAGCTCACAAGTGCAGAAGCAGTTCAACAGAAATGCAAACACCTCATAGTGTGCATGTCTGTGAAGTGAATGGGACAGTTCATACATACAAGTAAGCATGTGTGTGTGAGTGCATGTGTGATTATAGTTTATAGATCATCAACAAGCAACAGATGACTCTTTAGTCAAGTCAAATCAGCGTTTATTGTTTTGTAAATCTCTTTCCTACGGTGGCCCTGAGAGGTCAAACGCACTTAACGCACTAAATATCATCCAATAGAAAAAATGTTGCAGAAGGACAAAAAACACAACAGAAGTTAAATGAAACAAAACTGAAGTGTTTCTGGGGACACAATAACGTAATTGCATGATTCTTATAATGCTGCAGATACGTATGAATCATTTTAATTCTTTTGTTTATTTAAGCGCTCCCCTTGAATGAAGTAAAATGCAATGACGCAGAAACATAATTATGCCAGTTTCAGAGCTAAGATGAAATGGTTTTACTTAAATGACTAATGTGGAAACTAGATCATGGCCGGCACATGCAGGTCATTAACCTGTCGGTTGCTTTTCGCTCACCTCTGCAGCACCTCGCGCTCCCATAAATAAACATGACATCGCTGCTGAACTCTGACGCCATGTTTGCATATCAAAGACACCCATGTTCAAAAGGCTGTGGCTTAACAATAACCGCCCTGTAGCTCTGATTACATAAGGCCCCATCACAATCCAGCCAGCCTCTTTTTTCCTCCCTCTCTCAGTGACTGGCTGCACGCCATACAGCGGCATCATTCCCAGAATGCACCGCGCCGCAGAGCTGGTGTCCCAGTTTTAACAAAAACGCAGCAGTGCAATGTAATAACATTGTCACCCTGCAGGTTCTGACTGCCACAGATACAATCACCGCTGACATGCCCATCAAGTACCCAAGTGACTTTAAGGAGCATCAACACCATTATATTGTGGATATATATAAAAAAAATATTTTTGTTTCACCATTTAAAACACGAATTAAATGAACTGTAAATACTGAATAAAATAACACATAAAATATGTTATTTGTACCTGCAGAAAACGTTTATAAATATTCATGTGACACATTTAATGATCTCCTCTGATTGCTACACCAGGGGAAGTCTGCATATTCATCAATGGCTAAAGAAGAGTCTAGAAACAGAGGGCGCCTTGTTAGATGCCTGCATAAAAAACACATAAGCACACCCGAGCCTTATCAAAGGCTCTCTATTTATAAATGGACTCGAAGCTTAAAAACTCAATTCTATCTTCTATTTTCGACCTCTGGCAAAACCACCACAAACAGGAAATCCAATTAGAGCGATCATATCATTCTCCATAATGCCAGTGTTTTTTAATAATACAGCAAAAGCACTAATTAAATAATCAATTATTAATTTTCAATTTGAATCAAGTGATGTCATTATTTAAGATTTTTCATTTCACTTGCTTTTCTTTTATTTAACATGACCTGGACGACAGCCTTCAGCTTATTTATGGAAAAGATGCTTTAAGAAGCAGAAATTAGATATGTTGGCCTTTTACATCCAGACTTCATAGACGAGGCATGAATGTGTCTTCTACACATCGGTTTTCTGGTTGACATAACGTGGCCTGAACCAGACACAAGTTTATTCTCTAAGGATAGATCACAAGGTGGGTACGACCCACACACCCACCTTGAGACTTGTGTTGGAGCGAGGCTGCGATGAGTCAGTGAACCTCCAGCTCTCTGTGCCCAGTGTCTCTGCTCTGGCCTGAGGATCTGGGATGAGCAGAGACGCTCCGCCAGATGATGGGAAGATTCCCAAAGAAAGAGGTCGCTCTCTCCTTGGGAGATTAAAAAAAAATTATAAAACGTCCCTTTTTATTGGAGAACAGACCACAAACGCTGCCTGTCGATGACGTGTGATATGAAAGTGGCTTGGCAAACAAACTTATGCGCTCTCACCTGACTCGGCCGACTGCGCTCGACTCGGAGGTCTCGCTGATCTGTTGCATTTTGATCCTCTCCACGTGCTCCATGTAATTATGGATCATCTGCAGAATTCAAAGCAAAAACACCCAAAAGGGAGCTAGTTAGTCATGACCACTGTTCAGAGTTACGCTCCGCTCCTCCCTTTCTCTCTAACCTACCTCTGTGTGCCGCTGATGGAGGGAGTTGTATTCCTTCTTCAGGTCCAGCTCTCGTTCTTCTAACCTGCCAACTGAAACAAAGGAAGGCCCTCATCAGTCTCAGCTACTTTACAACCAGCTTATAGACTTTAAATCACTTGTTAAATACTTCAGAACCTCACTGTCACATTACTGTAATTCTTCTCTGTGATCATTAGGTTTTTGCATATGTATGACAGTCATACGTAAAAAGGCGTGCAGTTTTTCTCTGCTATGCAGTATAGAGGGGCTGGGGCTGGGGGGGGGGGGTAATCGCACCCAAATAGTTTTCAGCACTGGGCGCCTTACGAAGTGACAAAAACATCTAATCCCTTATTAGCACATCAGGTTTAGCCTAAGCCACGCAGCGAGCTGCTGCAACAGACGGGTTTAAAGCTATCGGATACTATCAATTACAACAGCTAAAGCTTCTGTGTGTTGTGCGATGATGCCTTGCCAGTGTGTACTTTGACACTATCGAGCAATTTTATTCTGCAGTCATGAGTCATCACATTCCTGGATCCCAGTAATAAAATGAAGAAAGAAAAGCTGTGCAGGGGGACAGCTGAAGCTTCTCGCAATCCTTGATGAGTGTGTGTGTGTGTGTGTGTGTGTGTGTGTGTGTGTGTGTGTGGTTTTATAAAGTAATCACTGGGTGGAGAAGAAGCTGAATGTAAGGCCATAAGCCTGACTGGATTTATGAGTCATTTAGCCTAAAATCCTGAAATGCATACCAAATGAACAGTTTACATGTCAAAAAGCAAACAGCATCATCCACTGTGAAGCTCTACACTCAAAAAACGTTTTGGCCGAAATGCTCATTTTAACTAACTTAATTTTGTTACATATGAACAATTTAAAAGGTTAAATTTAACAAATCTGGTCTGATTAAATTTGCTTGATTGGTAAACATTCAGTTTATACCAAGCACATTCTTCTTAGTGATTCCATATTAATGTTGAATTATTTGAATAGGTAAACATTTGATTTTATTTGTTTCAGCTGCTTTTATTCAAAATATTGCTTCATGTTGACTGAAAGTTAAAAATCTTTTTTTAAGTATAAAGCATGACTTGTTTAAAACTTCCTCATCAGGCTGTTACTCTGCTGGATGCTTTATTAATCAATTAAATCTGAATTCCCCAAACTCAGCTCCAATCTCTTAATTATTGATCTTTTCCGTGTCAGGCCAGTGAAACTAAAGCACTAACATTATCTAAGCTATACTGCTGTTGTCTAACTTCTTGCTGCAACTGCGGCCGTTTAACTCAGTGGACTCGGATTTAAAGCACCTCAATGAATGAATGATTTACCATTTACTGGGAGTGGCAGCAAATTAGCTGAACCTACTGAGCAGGAATCATTCTCTCAAACAGCAATCACAACAAAGCAATAACTGATAAATAATTCACTTTTGATTTTCCACATCACACCAGCCACTGGGATACTTATGTTTGCCTTGTTAAAGCTTCTGCTGTAAGTCAGATTTGGAAAGAAATTCCTGTTTTCTTCCCACTCCCAGCTTTGTGTGAATGAATGATTTGCTTTAACCAGCCAGCTGCTTAGTCACCAGATACTGGACCAGTCATTGTGTGAATCCCCTCTTTTTTTCTGACAAGACAGAATGTATGAGCCAATCGCTTCTCCTCTACCGCTTAATCCACCCATAAGATGGGCGGGTAATGTACTGCCGCATTAGGAGGATGGGAATAACAGAAATCCTTTAATCCCATTACTGTTACCCCCGCAAAGATGAAGAAAGAGAGCGTGAGAGTCTGCATAGTTAATGTGTGCATACATAGCAAGCCATGAGAGGAAGGAGATAGTAAGGGAGTGAAAAATAGACTAACTGCAGGAACTGAAACAGACAGAATTATTTATAATAGCGATGAGATTTCATCTCAGCGCATGGATGCTGACAGACATGGAAGATTTTTTTGAAAGCATGTACACAATAATATAAGCGCATGTGCATGAATGTGTGTTTTTGCTCACTCTGGTCTGCATAGTTCTTGATTTTGAGCTCCAGTTGGCGGGAGTGGGACTCCATCCGGTCCACATGGCTCTGCAGGTCCTTCTTCTCCTGCTCATGAGTGTCTTCAAATTCGATGAACTTCTACACACACACACACACAAACACAGTTTTGTTGGACTCACTGACACTTAATGCAAAACATATCAAAGCTGGTTTGTCAGCAGTCTGATCTTGTTTGATGCTTGTTTTGCAATATGAAAAAAAAAGACGCCGTTCCTAAATTTGGGCGTTCTATTTTTACATGACAGTAATGAAACCAAATGAGGAATTTTGCCCCACTGCAAAATGCATGTTTGAAATAGTAATTTGGTCACTGTATTTAGAATAAAAACTCTATTATAAATACAATTTAGTTGTTTTACAGTATTAACATTTAGGAAAACTGATGTGACGCGTACAAATATAACTGTGGCCTCTGAAAATGAAGGACATATCTCTGGATCCCTAAAAGTATTAATGGTCCTACGACTGTGACAGATTATCAAATGTGTCTTGAGTCTGATCTGCAGTGCCGCTTCCTCCCAGTTTCCTTATAGGCCGGCCTCTGAAAATGTACTTTTGTTTATGTGTGTGTATCAACGTCCACATCCTGTCCAGCTTAGCAAGCCAAGGCCCTGACGTGGCTCTCTTCCTTCCTGTGGGCACAGGAATCTTACCCTACTTTGATGTACAAGCACATGCAGGAAACTTCCTTGCAAAGACATAATTTAGCTTATACTCAGTGATCGACCCAAATAACTCTCTTTTTTATCAGTAGCAGCCTGCTTGCCGTGGTTTTAAGGGAGTCGCTACTGTGTTTTTGAAGGTATGAATTACATAGAAGTGAAATTTAAGGTAATTACTATGGATCTTAAACTGGAAATCTACTAGTAAATTAAAATAAAATAAAAGTAAAAGAAAGTGGTAGAAATATGAGGAATCATGAAAAGTTTCAAGCATGAACATTTGCTGACATTCTCAGTCTTCCATATTAGCAGTACAGTAGTACCATAGAAGCCCTGTTTCTTCCAGGATTATTCCTGTAAAAAGGACGTTTTTCCTTCCCACTGTCGCCAAGTGCTTGCTCAAAAGGCATTAATTTCATTGTCAGGGTTTACTCTGTATTATTGTCCAGTCTTTACATTACATCAACACCAGAACTCCAGAAACAACCAATAAAATTAGTTTAGTTAATACTGCCCAGGGATGGCAGAAGGAAATTAGCTAGTAACTAATAAAGAATAATAGAAATAATCAGTCACACTGGACCTAAGATAAAGCAGTAACTATGTGTGAGACAATTAAAACACCAGCTTCCTGTTTGTGAAGATATGATAGAAAGTATTCCCGCAGCAAACAACATCAACAGTGCAGATCAGACACACCCAAGAAATTTAAAGATGATGCAAATAAGTTTTAACGGGCTGAACTGCTGCCTTAGATGTAATTAAAGTTAAAGATATTCTCACAGCCGTCTGCTTTATTCTGCTTCATTTTTCAAGATTATCTTCAATTTAAATCAGAGTTTAGTGGAAACAGGCTCGCAAACACATCACAGCAGACAGGAATGTGCTGCTATCCTTTTTTACCTGTTATGAATCAATGAAGGAGCGGGTAAAAGGTGTCATTAAAAACGACTTCCAAAATCAGAAATGTCACACCCTTCATCAGTCTGATATAATGAGTGGGAAGGAGGTCAGTCTATTGACACTGAAACCCAAGATAAAAACAAAAGAAAAGCAGAAATGAAAGCTGAAGGATGTTCCCCTCTTCTCACAAAGGATCACATGACCTGGAAGTAACACTGTGCCTTCCCAGGAGGCTCAGCGTACCCCTGCTCACTCCTCCTCGGGGCTTTAGTAAAAGAGTCCTACCCAGGAAACCGGCTTATTGTTTCTGTGTCTATTTAAAACACATTATACTGCAAAACAATGCAGGATACAGCAGTATTGTGTCACTGTGTATACGAGTGTTTGTGGCTGCTGTGACCAAGGTGCAGCATCACCCACTGGATGGAGGTTCCACAGCATACCGGGCTGCTTTTCCACTGCCCCTGAGCCACAGAGGCCAGCTGTGACAGAAGGTCCGAGTCACATCGCTTCACCCTTCATATTGAGGGCTCAGGGCAGATTGACCACACACAAACACTAACACCCTGCCAGAAACACGAAATCCAGGGCTGCACTTTTGCTGCCAATGTGCACCCACTCAGATATCACATCCTAAACTTTAGAAGCTGTGTCTTCATAGGCATGGGCCTACAAAGTAAGTAATTATTGCACAACAACAGTGTTATAACCTGACCGCTTTGGAAGATGTGAACATTCCCCAGCTGTGAGAGTCTGTTGTAAATAATGAGATCCAAGAGCATTACAGGAAATGTAGGTTGCAGGTGTTTTCCAGCTCTAAATAAAAACTTTTAAGTTCGGAAGGACTGTAATGTCAATTTAGACTTTATTTTTTGTCTCTTACAAATTACCCAAACTTACCCAAAAGTATGTTTATAGCTAAATTACTGGAAATCTCCTTTAAGTAATATAAATGTATATTTCTGATATTTTCCAGGTGTTAGATATCTGAACTGTGGTCATCTATCTGTGCACACAGTATTTTCTGCATATGAAGGTAAGAGCTTAAAGAAGTAACACTGTTGTGCAGGATGTTTGGCTTTGCACATGCATGAATGATGGAAATTATGCTGTTTAGTGATGTAAACATCACTAAGAGTAGTTTGGTTAAAGCCGTGGTGGGATTTTCTGTGACATTTTATGCCTCACTGTTATTCCACAAGCTCCATCCTCTTCACACTGATGTGTTTTATAAACGTCATATATGTGTTTTACAGTTACAGTAATGGCCCAAAACGCTGAGTCACTTCACCTGCTGTTTCTGACTTCACTATCTGATGCAATAGGACATCATATGTGCATTTGCCAGGGATGTGGCTTTGATGCGTTGTTTCATAGATAGACACAGTTATATGACAGATCATCCCGCAAGAAAACAGAGCCAACAAGGAGACAGGGCCATTTCAGTGAGCCGTTAGCATGACTCTGCCTTGTTTACATCCCCACTGAACACCATGGATGCTGCCAGGCCACGTGTATAGGTTAATTCATCGCTCAGGGATGCTGGGAGGAGAAAGCACCTGAGGCAGGCTTCATTGCCCTCCTTTAAGAAAAAAAAAGGATGCTGAATGTTGATATTTTCCTTCCCCCTCTCTTAGATCCATTCAGCTCACCTCCTCTGCGTGTTTCCTCAGCGCTTTCTCCCGCTCGTACTGGGTGATGAGCTGCTCGTTGTCCTCCTTCAGCAGCTCCAGCTCCACTTCGTGCTCCTGGTTCTCCGCGAACACGGAGTCCAGGTTCTCCAGCACGGCCACCACAAGCGGCATCAGCTCTTTCACCACGTCCTCGTCGTATTTACCGATAAGCCTCTCGAACTCGCGGTAAATTGAGTTGGCCAGGCCCGACACCCGCTCAGACATCATCGCTGATGTCCCCGGGTCGTCCTGGTACACAACTCCGTCTTCCAGCTCCATTTTTAGTCCTATTCCTTTCAACTAACAGGACCAGTTTTTTCTCCGCCTTACCCCGCCACTATGAACGCCCGTGTTCCTTAAATAAAGACAGCTTTTCTTTAATCAAACGGACACATTGAGAACAGCGTACGAATGTACTATTACGATGCAAGACAGGCTACGTGGATTTCTTCCTATTTTTTCCTCGCCTGTCCCGTGCTGCGTTCAAATGCTCCCCCGAAGCTCCCAAATTCCTCAATCACCATGAGAACAAAACCACAAGGATCAGTTTCCAGCCCTTGAAGACCCAGAAGTAGCGAAAGATACTGTTTATCTTTTGAAAATATAGCACAAACAATATTATATAGACATACAACACTGTATTTTTTCACATTAAATGTAAACAACAAAATGTTTTTTTCCTATAGCTGATTGAATTTAGAAATGTAGACGTATTGTTACACTGCACGATAATGACACGTTTATCTTGAACATGGAAGGAGACAAACAAATCCAGGCATTTTATTTCGTCCAATACAACTTGTAATTCCAACAATTCTCATAGTACGTGAAGCAACTATCCAACAGCTGAGTTGTTGACCAGACATATCACGTGATGACGTCACATCATGCTACCGGCGTAAAATTGTTGGCAGTTTTATGGAGAAAAAGTCGCCTCGAAAGTTTTCTAAATAATATGATTAAAAATAACTGAGGTTTAAAAAATGTGCAAAGTGATTTGTGTGCAACTATTTAGATAGTGAAAAGTAAATAAATATATTATAAGATTCTGGGTAATTCCCCAGCTGTGCATTAGTAAAATAAAAAACATAGGTCTGCCTATATACGTTTCTACATAAACATAAAAGATGAGTGACATACCATGCAAAGTACTATGGAGAGAAATTTTCCAGAAAAGGGTTACAAATGCCAGGGCTCTAGACTAACTTTTTGCCAGGGTTACACTGGTGCGCTTTTTTTCTTAGCTGCACCAGCACAAAAGTTTTACATGTTCACTTTTTTTTAAATTGCTGTTCATACAGACAATATTTATTTGTAAACGATTAACTAACAATCTTATCAACACAAAGTTCTGTATTTAAAGCACAGTTCTACAAGAAAGATGGGTTACTGGAAAAGTGCGTGGGCTTAAAGTGCTTAAAGTGGCACTCTTTGGCAATATTGTAGACAATGTTAAACTTAATCATCATCTCGGCCTCTGACAACCTGTTTGCTGCTGCGTTCCGCTGAAAGGCACTGAGAGGGGACACTAGAGCAGTGCATTTATCGCAGCATATAACGTGTTTTCTGGATACTCTGCTCTTTCTGCGTTCGGAGGTTGATGGCTCTGTGTCAGAGAACTGGCTATGAATTTCAAACAAATCAGGTCTTAACTTAATGAAAAATTTATCAACTAGCGATGTGTCGGTCGCGAACGAATCGGCTTTTAGAGTCGAATCTTTGAAGTGAACGACGCGAGCCGGCTCCTTATTGGGAGCCATGTATTTTTTTCATTCTCTCATCTATGACACTTTTTTCCGCTTCACTTCGCACGTGAGCCTTGTGCTTGCGCTGAGCAGCGGGGGGAGGGGCGGCAGTAGCACAGGAACCGAGCAGAGAGAAAGAGAGCCAGGGACAACAACATGACATTAGAAAGGTATAGTAATCATCCACAACTATTATCAGTTGCAGATGATAAAGGATTCAGAAAGTTTATTCATGCAGGCCCATATGACAGAGAATGTGCGTCTTCTTTTTGTTTTCATATTTTAATTTATATTTAATCTGTTGTGGTTTGCTGTGTTTTGTGTTGTTTTCACTTTAAATTTGTTTAAAAGGACATTTAACATTTAAAATTTAAATAGTTAAAAGTTGAAATGTGAATAGTTGTTTTTTGTATTATATAATTTATTTATTACATTTTATGTGGAGTGAATAAATAAAAGTATATTTACGGTGGCCCCTAGCCTCCTGACTACCAGCAATGCAAATTTGTCCTCTGTAGAGCACCTTTCTAAACCTGAATATCTCCCATGCACTGCATACTACAGAATTGCCTCCTTTTGGTATCTACAGAGGACATTTAGGGCTTTCCAATGATACCAAATGTGAAGGGGTGGAGCTTTGGGAACTTTAGTTTTTTCATTAAGGAACATGGCAGCCATCGCTGCAAGCACATTTTATGGGCAGAAGAAAAGTAAGTGCATAAAACTTCTTATTGAGCAATTTTTAGCTATAAATGTTGTTAACATATTTTAAATAAGTCTCTTGATAACACATTAAAACATAGTATGCTTAATTCTAACTTCATTTTAGTATAGTATTAAAGTGTTTAAAAAATGTCCTCCATAGTGGACATTTGTAGTCATTTCCTCCATTTTGTTCTGTTTTTTTAAATGACCAGAAAAGGAGTCCTTTTTAGAAGCGGAAAGAAATTTATTGCAGTTTGATGAGGGAAACCCAGATCTTGAGTTGTCTGATGAAGAAGATCATAGGGAATAAGCCCTTGAAGAAGAAAGAAGGAGGAGCATCAGGGATGGTACTCAGACCTGAACTTGCTGTCATTAAGTGGTTGGACAGTTGTCATGGCATCCTCTGCCTATGGCAATCAACCTCAGGACAGACGCACAAGATGGTCTAAGAAAAACAAAAGGTTTGTCCATGTGCCAAGTCCACTGCCAATTGCTGAGTACACTACCAATATAGGTGACGTGGACCTTGTTGCCGAATGTTGAGTTTCTACAGGATGGTCCCTCACACTCAGAAATTGACAGTATGTGCAGTTTTCTACTTTTTGATCTGGCAATCACCAACTCGTGGCTTCAGTATAGCAGTGACTTGCAGTTTTGGGGGAAGAAACCACTACAGTTCCTTGAGTTCAAACTTCTCCTTGGTGAAGAGTTGAAGCAAATGTTTGCCATCAAAGTTCATTTTTACACGTTTGGCCTTCCAATGTCCTCTGCAGTGGACATGTGATATCTAAAAAATGTAAACTTTTTTTTCCCAAAAAATTATTTCAAACATTGGGGAATTTAATTTTTTTTTTGATTGGACAACATTTTTTTTCCTGGTAGTCAGGAGGCTAGAGACAAAGTACGTACAAACTCCAAAACACGTACAAACTCAGAAGCACGTGAAACCTCCAAAACATGTACAAACTCCAAAACACAACAGAAGTGCTCCAGGATGCTATTGACAATGTTGAGCTTTTGTTACCTAGTGGCTGAACAAGCCAGGAAGTACCAAGGACCGGATTTGGTGTGTGGTAGTAAAAGGTAAATTAACTTTTTTTATTTTTTGATTATTTGAATATATATGAGTGGTTGTGTATAAATACGCAAACAATAAACATATGCTTTCAACTGTGTAATTTAAGTGATCTAGGTAGCTCTGTTTTGGGAGTTCAGTTAATACTAGCAATGTGTTTTGCACAAACAGTTAAACAGTAAATAGTTACAGCTTCACAGAAAGAACCTTGAGAACAAACTGCTGCTGAAGCTTAACCATCACTTCACTGAGTGAAGAAATGGCACATTTTTGCTAAATATGCAGAAATAGACGCACACCCATACAATTTATGGTAAACTGAGCTGCCTTGTATTTACATATGTTGAAATTGCCTTGTTCTAATGTTTTTTCTGAGGCTGTTGTGCCATTTGGAGCAAAAATGAATATAAAGTTTACAGCATATCTTGTCACTGGAAATGGTTTGCACTGTTTATATTTATATTATTTACTGTAGATATTGGTTAAAAAGGCTTTATGTTGTGAAAAACTGAAATTAGAATTGTTGTGCCTTATTTTGTTGATGTTTTTACACATATTCTATTTGAAAATACTAAAAATGTGTATATTTTTTTTATTTTTCTTTGTCTGATAGCATTTATTTAAAAAAATAAATTAGACATTACAACCAGTTACTCACTACTTGAGTAGTCTTTTCAGCAACTACTTTTTTACTCTTACTTGAGTGACTTTTTTGATGACTACTTTTCACTTTTACTTGAGTAATAATATTTTACAGTAATGCTACTCTTACTTGAGTACAATTTTTGGATACTCGACCCACCTCTGGCAGATACACAGTTTTACATCTTAACTGGCAACACATGCTCCCGAGGCATGATGGGAGACAACTAGTTGCTTCCAACATGCCACACAGCCCCCACCTGAGTGGTTAGCTGTCCTCAGCAACCTGTGTGTCCATAACAAAGCCTATGAGGCGTTGGTGTTACGGGTTCCCCAGCCGTCTCCGAGACCAAGTCGGGGCCTGGGTTTGGAGCTGGGACTGTGACGGCTCCCCAGATGGGCTGATAGGGTACCAGGCGAGCACCCTATTCCATTGAGAAGTTAAGGGACGTAACAAATCGTCAGTATTTTATGCGTCGGGAGTGAGAACGGGTTGGTAAACCACGTATGACAGCCTCTCAAGCACGTCCAAACCACTGGCTTACACACAGTTCAGCTAAATACGTGACAAGGCAAGCGTATGTGAGCGAGTGTGTCTGTGTGTGTGTCATCTCCTGTCACACCATACATGGCGCAACCTCTTCTCAAGTTGCTCTATAGGTGCAAAAGAGCAGAAACTTGTGGTTTCTAAACATGCAAAAGAAAGTTACAGCGAAGAGACCGCTCCCTTGCATATCCATGGTGATACTTCATGCACATGCACCTTTTATATGTATGGACGTGTGCAGGTATCGATATATGTGTATATATGCATATGTATATTTAGTATGGACGTGTGTGTGCATGCACATGTCTATACTTATAGATATTTGTAGACATCTATTACTTACATAGTAATAGCAGTGATAGAATACTTTTATTTATGTCTTGCATATTTCCACATATCTTATCTCATCTTATCTCATCTCATGTTATCTTATCTTAAGTGAAAAGTAGTGAAAGTTCCAGTGATGTGAAGTCAAGTAATGGGGTATACAGTAAACTGAGTCAACATCAATAAAAAAGAAAGTAAAAGTAAAACTATGATAAGAAAGGTGAAAGTAGCAAGAACAGTATAAATGAGCTCTGTCTGCCCCCACTGCAGTCAGACAGTCCAGAGCCACACAGGAGAAGGTAATGACTTTCAGAATAACTTTGACATTATTCTTTGCATTTCAATGAAGTTACATTTTCTTTCTAGTCTTTCTATTCCTTTTTATACATTTGTATTTTTTTCCATAACAATGTAATTGATTATTGTTATTCAGTTACAATT